GTGAGAGAGGTGACATCATATGTATTCTACAGATACTAAAATGATAAAAAAAGAAATCATATAAGTAACTTCATGCCAATAAATTCAAGAACTTCAATTAAGTGGGTGAATCCCTTAAAAGACACAAACTACCAAAACTCACTCAAGAATATGTAGATAAGTTGAATAGCCCTGTATCGACTTGATATGTAGTTAAAAACCTTTCTTTCCACAAATAAAACTATGGCACAGACGTCTCCCATTGATTAATTCTACCAAGAATCTAAGGGAAAATAATACCCTACCCATATACACAAACTCTTATAGAAAATTGAAGAGGAAATAACACTTCCCATTATATTCTATAAGGCCAGAATTGCAACCAATCAAATACATTACAAGAAAAGAAAACTACAGACCCATGTACCTCATGGACACATATTTAAAAATCCTAAGCAAAATATTTAGCAAATCAAATCCAACAATATAATAAAAAGATTATACTTTATAACTAAGGGGGGGTTATCCAATGTATACAAGGTTAATATAATGCTCAGAAATCCATGCAACATACAATATTAATAAACTAAAAAGGTGATAATGTCAGTAGGTGCAAAATGGCAGTAGACAAAATCCAACATCCATTCCTGATTTTTAAAAGACAACAACTCGGAAAACTAAGAATAAAAAGGAACTCCACTTACAAAGGAGTATCCACAAAAGACCTATAATCAACATTATATTGAGTGAAGAAAGACATTTCCCCTAAGAATAAGAAAAAAGCCAAGGAAATCTGTTATCACCACTTCAACATTATACTGAAGGTTCTAGCAATAGGCAAGGGGGAAAAAAAAAAGACATCCAAGTGGTAGAGAAGTAGAATTATTTCCATTTGCAGATGACTTGACTGCCTACAGAGAACACCAAATGGAATTCACATAAAAAGCTACTTGAGTAAGAACGTTTGACAAGATTGCAGAATATAAGATCTATATGAAAAAATCAAGTATACTCCTATATATTAACCATTTACAATGGCATCAAAAATATAAAGTACTTAGAAATAAATCAGAGATAAATGTGCAAAGTCCATCCACTGAAAACTTCACAAATTCTGCAGACATATTTTCTAAGATCTAAATAAACAGAGATATATCCCTTGTTCTTGGGTCAGAAGATTCAATATTGTTAAGACGCTCATTCTCCTCAAATTGAGCTGGAGATTTAAAACCAAATCCCAGCAGACTTATTTTGGTCAAAATCCCAGCAGACTTATTTTGTACAAACTGACAAGATACTACCGAAATTCATATAGAAATGCAAAGGATCTGAATGCCTAAAACATCTTTGAAAGAGAAAAAAATATATAGAGGAAAAACACTACTTGATTTCAAGACTACTTATTACAAAGCTTCAGTAATTAAGAGTGTGTGGAATTGACAAGACGACGACAAATAAAGCAACGAATCAGAAAACAGAGTCCAGAACACACATACATACACGCCACTGGTTTATCCAAAGGTTCAATTCAATGGGGAGAGCACAGTCCTCAACAAGTATTGCTGGTACTACTAGATTTCCACAAAAAAGAAAAAAAACAAACAAATAAAAAAAAAACCAACCACTTTAATCTACATCTCACATCATATACAAAAACTGGGTCAAATGAATGATAGAATAATGTAAAAGCAAAAATTATAAAATTTCTAGGAAAAAAATTTCTAGAAAAAAATCTATGTAAACTTAGCAAAGATTTCTTGGATATGACACCAAAAGCAAGATCTATACAATAATAAATTAGACCTCAAAATTTAAAACTTTTCTTTCATAATTAAGAGAAAAAACATAAGCCATAGAAGGGGAGAAAATATTTGCAAATTATGTATCTGATGACTTATGTCCAGAAAATATAAAGGACTCTTAAAACTCAATGATAAGAAAACAAATCAATATATAAAATGGGCAAAATATCTGAAACATTTCACTAAAGAAGATACATAGATGACAACTGTGTCACAGTAATACAAAATGTATTCAGTAATATAAAATTGAAAAATAAAGATGATAGATCTTCTCTAAATCACAATATCTACCAGATTAAATACACAGAGAGGAATTAACTCATTTTCTCCTAGCCACTGTCCCCAGGCTTAATATTGGTCCTCCTGAGCAGACAGAACACTAAACGTAGTGGTCTCTTTGACTTGATATGAGATTTTGCACCATGACCTCTCTTTTTCCCACCAAACTTTCTCTTACTCCTAAGAGGCAATACAGCAAACACATCCAAGAGTACGGGCTCTGCTTACCATCCCAGATATAACACTTACTGTGTGACACTGGGCACTCTGCTTAACCTCTCTGTGCTCCAGATTCCCCATCTCCAAAATGGAGATGATACTAGTGTCTACCTCGGATGATTGTGAGAATTCAATGAGCACACACACACAGAAACTTTCAGAACACTGCCTAGAAGGCAATAAGCAGCTCAGCAATCATGAACCATTATTATCATGCTCTCTCAGAGGCTCGAATTTCTCCTTCAGCTGTCGGAAGCTGAGAATTGTGGAAAGAGCAGTGAAAGCTGGGAAGCTTGTATCCTAGGTTCGACATCTCTCCTGACAGACGGGATTTCGCATTGGCTGGATCAATGTTCCCCTTCTCATCTCTAAAACGAACAGGTACAGTAAATGATCTCTCCAGCATGGTCTCTCTAAAACCTGTACTAATGATATCCCTACATCTTTTTCTGGAAAATACAGGAAAAGCAGCGGAAAAAAGGGCACACAGGAGCAGTCAGGAGACGTTAGCAAGAGGCAGAAGGCCAATTACTGGGAAGCACAGGAGAGAGAGAACATGTAAAAAGCGTTTGTGGCACAGCAAGAGAGGACCACTTTCTCCACCCACATCTTTCCAATTTGTCCACTTAGCCTCAGTCCTGTAGGAGGCAGTGTGGTGTCATGCAGGACCCAGAGGATATCTTCGTGGGTTCTGTTCCAGCCCTGACAGTGACTGTGTGATTTACTCTCTGTGCCTCACCTAAAAAATGGAGATGTCAGTAATCCTTCCCTACCTTAAAAGGCTGCTGGGAAGATCAGATCGGAGAATGCATGTAAAGCATTTTAACCAAGCCTGGCACATCAGAGCTACTCATTGAAGAGTCACCTGTCCTGCTGCCACGACCTGAGTTCAGCCTACTATCTCCCACTTGCACTCCTACAGGGCCAAGTCATGCCCGTGAACAAAACCTTTTGGTTTCCCTGTGGCTCTTTGGATAAATTTCTAAATCCTAAGGACAAAACCCCTATGAGCGGATCCCTGCCTCCCTGTCTGTCAAGCCTTCCATCTCTCTTTGCTCTCCATTCCTTATTTCTGTCTCACCAGTTACAGTCAGCGACAATTTGCCACCAAGAAGCCCCACTCTTTCTCACCTGTGAGCAATTCACTGTGCCTTCCTGTTTCATTTTCAGACAGCACTGCTTTCTCAGAGAAGCCTCCCCCCACCCTGAGGTTAGGTCCCCTGCCCACGCTCTCTCGCCTGGCTGTGACCACCACCCTTGTGTTTGTCTTCTCCCTCCCTAGGAGGGTAGGGCCACATCTGTCTCCTTCCTCACTGTATCCTGGATTCAATGCCTGACTCAAGGTAGACACTCCGATGCAAGTCTGACCAGTTAATGATTTCACAAATGAAAGTGGGCACGATTCAGAGAAAGAGGGCAAAGGAAAAGTCATGACATAAAATAGGGAAGGAAGAAAGGAAGGGAGGAAGGGAGGGAGGGAAGGAACAAACTAGGGTGAGAGGGGATGGGGAAACAGTCCTGAGAACACAGGAAGAAATACCAGTAGCTGGTTTAGGAAAGGAGTTTTAACATTTACAAATCACTCCCCCCGCCCCGCACCCTTCCCACCTGCAGGCTGTCAGGTCTTCCAGGACAGAATGCCCATCATCTGGAGCAGGCTCTTGATTTTTTTTAAAAAAGTTAATTATGACACTTTTACAATGATAAGTGATCAATTAGGTGGAGCTTTACAAAACTGCCATATGGGGAGCTCAGGAACATTGTCGATATCGAAACTGTTCATCTAATATAAATAACTTACCCGCATCACCTTGCAGTCTGTTAGTATATTTTTAAAGAAACACATTTGTGGCTGGGCGCGGTGGCTCATGCCTGTAATCTCAACACGTTGGGAGGCTGAGGCGGGCGGATCACCTGAGGTCAGGAGTTCGAGACCAGCCTGGCCAACATAGCGAAAACCTGACTCTACCTAAAATATAAATTAGCCAGGCGTGATGGCATGAGCCTGTAATCCCAGCTACTTCGAAGGCTGAGGTAGGAAAACTGCTGGAACCCGGGAAGCGAAGGCTGCAGTGAGCGGAGATCGAGATCGAGCCATTGCACTTTAGCCTTGGCGACAGAGCAAGACTACTCAAAAATAATAATAATAATAAAGAAACGTTTATATTTATAACACTTACTGTTACTGTGTCTAAAACAGTACTATGATTGCCTTTATTTTGGAGATGAAGCTGAGGCCCACGGGGTGAAGTCACTCACTCAAAGGCACAGGAGGAGGGAGGACTTCAACCCTGGCTCCAGAGTCGGGACCCTCCACCACTGGGCTACACTGCCTTCCGGATGCGTCCTAAGACTGCGGCTTGGCGGCAGCGACCGGCCCACGACTACACAGCGAGTAAGGAGCCGCTCGGCCGAAACCGGGTGTGCCTGACGCCAAAACCCCTGCACCTCCCCCGACCCCCTTTTCTGAGTCCAGTGCCTTTCGGCCCCTCCTCCCCTTCCCACGACCCCGCCCATTGCACAGACTGGAGCCCGAGCTGGAAAAGGCCAGGCCGCCCGGCCGGTCTGCGGACGAGGCGGAGCAGCGGGGCTGCAGGGCGCAGGGCCGGGTGGGGCCGGGGTCCGCCCGAGCGCCGGGGAACCGGCGGCGAGGATCCCACGGGACCCGGGACGACGCCCGCAAGGACAACGACGGAGGGCGGAGGGTGGCGGGGGGCTTACTCCAGCCCATGGCGCCTCTCCAGTTCGCTGGCCCCGCACGCCCGGCCGGACCCCGAAGGACGCCTTCCGCCCCTCACCGCAGCTCCTCAGCGCGTCCCCATCGGAACTCGGGAACCAAGGCAACCGGGACTCTACGGCGGCCGCGCGGCGCCAAGACACGCCGCGTTTCCTGAGCTCCGCGGAGCCGGCCGGAAACGGTGGTGAAGAGACCGGAAGCAGGGGCTCCCCGAGCCACACCAGCCTTTGTTCTGGTCCCGCCTGCGACTGGCCGCAGACTGCTTCTCTCTCCCCGAATCACAGGTCCAGACTGAACAAGGAATCAGGACATTTCTCTTTCCTGTGCCTTCAGGCTTGTCCTCCACACCGCCGTTGACGTTGCTTTTCCTTTTTGTGTTTGATTTAAAGTTTCCAGAGCCAAGAGGTCTGGACTTGGCCCCCCACTCTACCGGGGGGATGACCTTAAACTTCCTTCTCTACAGATGAGAAATCATAACCTAAGAGGATCACTGCGAAGCTTTACTTAATTTGAGTGAATGAAAGACACTATAAAAACAACAGGCTCACTATAAATGTTCATTGTCATTGTCATATTCCATCTTTTTAAAGTCACTGTCCAACACCCATTTCCCGCCAGCAAGTTTTCTAAACACTCCACCCATTATCCCCTCCATCAATTTCCCTATTCTTCACTCTCTTAATTGTAAAATATAGGAAGTATAATATATCTCCTACAGCCCCACACCCCCTCACATTTCCCCAGACCCTTCTCTGAAAGTGTCCAACGTGCCTTCTGCCATTCTAAACTAGGAAGCACATCAGCAAGCTCATTCATCCTCAGATGTTAGTGTTAGCACTTTAATGCATTAGCTTTCCAAGAATTTTTAAAAAGTACCATTATTATGAAAGAATTATTACTCTTTACTCCATTTGCAAAAAAACAAAAAGGAGGGGGGCAACATGCAAAAGATAAAACCTTCTCCCATCTCAGCCCTTGTAAACAGCATGCAGTGTGCGCTTCTTGTCTTGATGTGTGTATCATGTTTGCATTTTAAAAGAAGATTCCTAGAGCAATGCTGAGTGCAAAGAAATTAATCTTTTAAGCAAATAGCTGTTAAGCATTTACAGCTGGCAATTATTAGAGTGACAGGTAGAGACAAGGTCATGAAATTGGGCAGAGAGGCAGAAAAGTCTAACAGAGTGAGGTGATGGGGGAAGGAGATGACAATAAAGAGAGCTAAATAGAAGGGGTCTTTGAACAGTAAGAATGAGAGATTAGATCAGGGGTAATTCGGGCCTTAAATGCCAGGCCAAATGAATCGAACTGTAAGAGTGAGATTTCAGGCACTATTTCCCTGAATATTTGGATTTCCACGGGGAGAAGTATTTGGATTTCCAAGGGGAGAAATATTAGGATTTCCAAGGAGACATCCCGAAAGTCACTCAAACTATAAACATATCTGACATCTGCTATTGTTTTTCTGAAAGCAGGACAGTGTGAGATGAACAGTATGAGCTCTGGCACTGGAAACGTAGGTTAAATACACAGATTTATCATTGTGCGGACTCTGACAGATGACTTCACCTTTGAAAGCTGAAACTTCTTTATTTCCACATGATGATGACAACATGGGTAAACAGCTATGGCCATGCCACTGATAGGTCTGAGTGCTGATGTCTGATTACTTGCAAAGGAAATGAAATACTCTGAGCAGCAGGCAAGTTTAGCAAATACGCCTGTGCTTGAACTTGTGCATTTTAACAGCAAAGAGCTCATCAAGGTTAAAAAGAAACCAGCTTCTGGAAGGAAGCTGCTATTGGGTAGCAAGGTTAGTTTGTAAGCTGTCAGAGGCATGAGGTCAGGCCTACTATAAGGCATCTCAGCTTGCAGTGAGCTAGGATTGCACCATTGCTCTCTAGCCTAGGTGACACAAAGAAACTATGTCTCTTAATAAAGATGGAAATAATAATAAAAATAAAGGATCTCAGCCTCTGGATCAGTGGGCAAAAGGAGGCAGTCCAGAACCCTAGAAAGTTCTCAAGAGCAATTGCAACTCAAGTGTTTGATATATTGGCTCTAAGCTTCTATCCTCACTCTTAGACCTCCTCACTGTTGCCCTAAAAAAGGAAACTGAGGTAAAATTAATATAGGTAGAGAATTTTATTTGGGCCAAGGTTGAGGAATGAAGCCTGGGAAACACTGGGAAGCGCTCTGGAGAACAAAGTTGAGGTGCCAGTTTTAAAGAAAAAAGGACTAATCAGGGGAGGGGTGACTACAAAAGTTGTTAGGAATTCTCATTGGTTTACAGAAGTAATATTGATTAGTTATTGGCCGTATATTGTTAAACTATAGGGAATGAGTCATAATGTCCAGCGTATAGCATTGTTAGGTTAATCTATAGCCATTGATGGCAACACTCAGTCTGGAGTTTGTATGGCAGGCAGCTTAGAAACAATGACTTAGCTTAAAGGGACGGGGGACTAAAACTTGACTACTGTCACATTTCAGTGCCTCTCTGGGCCTGATCGTTTAAAGGGGGCTCCCATTCCTCAGATAGAAACTTTCTTTTTCTTTCTCATCACTCTTAAACTCTCTAGTTGTCAAAAGGGCTGCTGTGGTTTGAATGCTTTTGTTCCCTCCAAAATTCATGTTGAAACTTAATCCCCGATGTAGCAGTATTAAGAGGCATGGCCTGAAGGAGGTAATTGCATCATAAGGGCTCCACCCTCATGAATAGGATTAGATGCCCTTATAAAAGGGCTTGCCAAAGGGAGCTCACCCCTTTTCGCCTTTTCTATTCCTTCTGTCATGAGAGGACAGAGGGTTCCTTTCCTCAGAAGAATGCAGCAACGAAGTGCCATCTTGAAAGTGGAGACTAGGCTCTCACCAGACACCCAATGTACCAGCACCCCAGTTTTTTTTAGACACAGAGTCTCACTATGACATCCAGGATGGAGGGCAGTGATCATGGCTTACTGCTGTCTCGAACTCCTGGGCTCAAGCAGTCCTCCTACCTCAGCCTCCCAAGTAGCTGAGACTATGTGCGTGCACCATCACGCCTGGCTAATATCTTTTTAGATTTTTTTTTTTTTTTTTGTAGAGATAAGGTCTCACTATGTTGCCCAGGCTGGTCTTGAACTCCTGGCCTCAGGAGATCCTCCTGCCTGGGCTTCCAAAAGTGCTGAGGTTACAGACATGAGATACCGCATCTGGTGCCTAGTGCCCTTATACTGGATTTCCAGCTTTCAGAACTGTGAGAAATAAAGTTTTATTCTTGATAAATGACCTAGTCTTAGATATTTTGTTATGGCAATACCAACAGACTAGGACATGTGCCTTGGATTTTTCCTGTGAAATTTTATATCCGTGGGACCCAAGTATTCTGTTCATTCATTCATAAGTGAATAAACAATGGAGCTGTCATTCTACTGGAGAAAAATCTCTAAGATATTTTTAAGCACTGTGTGCTCAACACTGCCCATGTACCTTGAAATTACTAACTCAATTAATTCTCACAATTAACCCTCAAGTAGGTCATATTGTCATGAACATATTACAGATTAGGAAACTGAAGCCCAGTGAGATTATATTACTAAGCATAGTGAATCAGAATTTTGTGCCTAAACCTTAATTCTATACTGCCTCTTTTTTTAGACTGAGAGCTACTCAGCAGAGAGGGAATTTTGTTGTTTATGTTTGTTTCTTTTCTTTTTCTTTTTTTTTTTTTTTTTTTTTTTTTTTTTTTTTTTTTTTTTTGAGACAGAGTTTCGCTCTTGTTACCCAGGCTGGAGTGCAATGGCGCGATCTCGGCTCACCGCAACCTCCGCCTCCTGGGTTCAGGCAATTCTCCTGCCTCAGGCTCCTGAGTAGCTGGGATTACAGGCACGCGCCACCATGCCCAGCTGATTTTTTGTATTTTTAGTAGAGACGGGGTTTCACCATGTTGACCAGGTTGGTCTCGATCTCTCTACCTCGTGATCCACCCGCCTCGGCCTCCCAAAGTGCTGGGATTACAGGCTTGAGCCACCGCGCCCGGCCTGTTTGTTTCTGTCCCTGAATCTCTCAGAACAATTCCTGACATTCATTGGGTGCTCAATAAATATTTGTTGAATTATCAAATGAATGAGTCCGTGAGCCAATTTCTTCAAGAGCTTGGCTGTCTTGGATATAAGGACCACATCTTGGTCACTTCAGTAGGATCACCAACGACAGAGGTGTCCCTGTTGTAGAGGGATCTAGCAGGCTTACCAGGAAGGGTACCTCATTCTCTGGTCATTGGATAGCTCCTTTTCTTGGGACCTTTTCACCAAATTCTAAGATAAGATCTGGTTCCAGGGGCAGGGTTTGACAGACTGTCCTGCCACTCTGGTGGAGCAGTGTTTGGCTCTGTGTCTCCACCCAAATCTCCTCTTTTAGTGCCCATAATTCCCATGTGCTGTGGGAGGGACTGGTGGGAGATAATTGAATCATAGGGTGGGTCTTTCCCGTGCTGTTCTTGTGATAGTAAATGGATCTCACAAGATCTGATGCATTTAAAAGCAGGAGTTTCTCTGCACAAACTTTTTTCTTTGCCTGCTGACATCCATGTAAGACATGACTTGTTCCTCCTTGCCTTCTGCCGTGATTGTGAGGCTTCCCAAGTCATGTGGAACTGTAAGTCCAATTAAAACTCTTTCTTTTGCAGATTGCCCTGTCTCGGTTATGTCTTTATCAGCAGCATGAAAATGGAATAATACAAGCAGAGAAAAGCTTTGGATGATAAAGCAGGGAAGCCAGCAATATCCGCTTTGTGGTTTGTCGTGGGTCAGGCAGGGCTGGTTATGCTGTGTCTTTCCTTAACCCAACATCACAGTCACTGTATTTCTTAGAAACAGAGAACCCAGGGGGTATGAAGGACATGTGTACAATGTGCTGTGATTGTCACAGTCCACTGACAGGGAGGACAATTGGAAAATAAATCACAATGTGACAGCTCTAAGTAAAATCAAGTTCATTTCACTCAAAGTGAATGAAATTGTTTCAAGAGTTGTGACGTGTGTCTGTTTATGCAAATCATTATTCCAAATAGACATTTTTTTTTTTTTTTTGGCTGCTGGAACTATAACAAGATGAGCTGTGCTTCCTGGAAAAAAAAA